TCCAAAGGCAATTCATCTGGTACAGTCTCTATAATTCGATATTTTACCTTTATTTCCGGCTCCTTCTGCTTATCCTGTATTATACCTGAAGATGTTAAGTTCATTTTCAACCTATTTTGATAAAATTCTTCCGCTCTTTCAACAGTATTTAGCTGATATCTTTCTCCTTGGTATCTAAATATAATACCAACTGGGGCGTCCCACCTGAATGAGATATTTCTCTTTTTTAACTCATTCACCAAAAAACCAAATTTCTTCCTTTCCATCAATATCTTAGGTGGGAGTTCCTTGTAAATCCAAATCTTTCTTCCATACAATTGCAAATTAGAATTGAAGGAATTTTGCACGATATTATTCCTAATTTCCTTATCTGTAAAATAAATCACCACGTCTCTAGGCAATTGCCGTTGCTTGGCAATCCAGGAGTTGATTCGATAAACTCTGTCAATCCTACAAAACACTTCATCAGGTTGAACCTTTAGAATCCCAGCTAGAAATTCAGAAGATATTTTCCTTAAATCATCTCTATTATTTTCCTGCAAACCTCTTAATCTTATCGCATATTCTGTGAAATTATATTGTACCATTAAAATCTCTTTTTCAATCTTCTGTTGCAGATTTTCTGCATTACCATACTTTTGATCAGCATCCATTTTAGGTTTTTCTTCTAAGCTATTATCCTGAGTGTTTGTCAAATCATTTTCAATTTTTTGAATTCTATTGTCCAATTTATCTTGAATTTCTTCCATTTTAGACTCTAGTACATTAGTATTTGTGTCCAACTGTATCATAAATTCTGTAAAACCATTAGCCACTTTTGAGAATTTTTTCTCCAAAGAATCAAACTTAAATTTCACCAATTCTTTAATTTCTTTAATTTCCTGCTTAAATTTTTCAAGTTGCTGATTCACAATCTCCTCCCTTCTTTCAATCTCCTCTATAAAAAATTATATTATATTAAAATCAGGTTTCTGAGACTGAAGAGTTAAGACTTGTTCCTTTAAGTTATTGGTGGGGGAATCCCACCCCCCTTCTTGTTTATCTGACTTTATGAGTCTCTGTGCCATATTTCCGCCCAGGCAGGCTTTGTTAAAAAAAAGCAAGAAAGACTTCTTTCCAATCAACAACAATATCAGATCTCCAAGGGAGAAAAAAGAGAAAAAGACACAGGAGCGAAGTTTTGTCTATAAATGTAACCAGTGGCATTTATTCCGCTACATTGTAGTAATAGAAAACGGAAGGACTTTCCCTTTCAACCTCTCCTCCAGCCAACGCCATTTTAAAAGGCTTTTTTTCCTCTTTCTTTTCCTCCTCTCTCTTAAGTAATTTTTTTAAAAAATCAGTAAAATACTTGCGGTTCAATATTACAGGTCCAGCTCACATTTTCTTTGAGTAGTCTGTTAAATTTGCAGGCTTGCCCTTGACGCCTGGCTCTGCATCAGCAGAGGTCTCCCAAAGCCCGGAGCAGCGGCTGGGGATACGGGGCATCTCATCCGCTCCGTCCCAAAAGTAAAGAAAAAACTTTTGGGACTCCGCAGAGAGTTCTACCCACCCCTGCCGGCTCTATCTCCGTTTCCTCATGGAAACTGAGTTTTTTCGAGCCGCCATTCCGTTGTGAAGGCGGCTCTAACAGGCGATGGAAGCTGACGATCCCAAAGGAACGTCTGGCAGCGACAAACAGCAAACCGGAAGTTCCCACAAATTAGGATCTTAAAGTACGCTGCAATCCAATAAGCCATTGCTGCATCCAGCCAACTAGAAAGTACATACAATGTATCTATACATACATACAGAAAAATAAATGGGAGGACAAGAATCAGGAACAGATTTGTGTGTGAATTGATTTTTGGAGTACATAAGCAGCTCCTTCATTTTAACATTTGGCCTCCCATATAAGCTACTATTTTGCATCTGGCTATGACTGTGGATCCTAGGATATTTTTAAAAAAATAATGGATATCCCAAATTGTCTGTGTTGCCCCAGCTGAGCATTGTAGCCCTCGACTTGCAACAGTTCATTTAATGACCATTCAAAGTTACAATGGCACTGAAACAAGTGACTTATGACCAGTGGTGGGATTCAAGTAATTTAACAACCGGTTCTCTGCCCTAATGATTTCTTCCAACAACCAGTTTTCCAAATTGCTCAGAAAGTTAACAACCGGTTCTCCTGAAGTGGTGCGAACTGGCTGAATCCCATCACTGCTTATGACCATTTGTCACACTCACGACCATTGCCACATCCCCATGGTGATATGATCAAAATTCAGATGCTTGGCAACTGACTCATATTTATGACAGTTGCAGTGTCCCAGGGTCATGTGATCACTTTTTGTGACCTTTTGACCAGCAAAGTCAATGGGGAACCCAGATTCACTTAACAACCAGGTTACTAATTTAACAACTGTGGCAAAAAATTGTTGTAAAATGAAGCAGAACTCACTTAACAACTGTCTCACTCAGCAACAGAAATTTTGGGTTCAAATGTGGTCATAAATTGAGGACTACCTATAGTAATTTTCAATCTAAGTTCAGTGTGTAAATTATGTATCAACCATACAATTGTCTAGTGCACAAAGCCAATTTCCTCAATCTGCTGCCCTCCAAATCTGTTAGCCTCCAACTCCCATAATCCCCAGGCAGCATAATTCTCAGATGTTGCTGACTAGAGATTGTAGGAGCTGAAATTAGGCATACTGAAGAGCAGCAACAGGTGGGGTAAGGCAGCCTAGAGAGAAGAGGCTTTGGAAAAGTATCTTAGTCTTTGAAAAGACCTACAAACTTGTAATATCCAGTATTTTCTATGGCCAGATAAACTATATCTGAGATTATCCAGAAGGCACAGGCTATAAAAGACTGAACAGTTATGGAATTCTGAAATTTGAGACTATTGTCTAATATCATGTTAGTCTACATGAACAATAGTTCAAAATACAAGTCAGAACATATAATCCACTTGCATTTTATGTGTAGCAGGAAACTATGAAAAAGGCAAAAAGGAATGTTGAAAAGCATTTTAGCCAACCAGAAAGTAAATACTAAATATTTTATGGGCACATTTTTTTCTCTAAATTCTTAAACAGGCTTGGAATCTTTTCTTGCTGATTCATTCCCTTTCACAATCTCCTGTGTTTATCATTCTAAATTTATTCTTATTCCTTGTCTTGTCTGCATGCAGAATTAAAATGGCTCTTTATATGAAGTGGATTACACATTTCATACTATAAATACATGGAGGAACTGTTAAGTTTTTAAGCGCTAAAAAATCCATGACAATACATTTCTTTTTTCAATCTCAGAAGCAGCAATGGTAATGTTAATGATAGTGAGGTTTTCACATACTCATTTTTTCCTCATTTTTATGAGTGCAAATATATGCACAAAATGAGAAACTTAGGTCAAGTTTGCTCTATGTATGAAGCAATAGCCTATGTACGTTTTTAGCACCTTGTATCTTCGTAACAGTTGAAAGAATAACTGGAAAATGTAGGAAGTTTAGAATCACTCTATAATCATAAGGTTCCTGCTCACTACCAGATTTGGATTCTATCAAGCACTGACCTTGCAGAAAGCTAAACTGACTTAATATTTGCTACCTCACCTGGCAAACCTACCCTGCCCCAGCCATGGTTTGAGAAATGGGGATTGTTTTATTTATGCCATACAGGGGACACTACAGGGAAATATTGGAGGATTCCTCCACAATAACTTGTCTTTTTTCCTGCATAACATTTACCTCAAGGGAATGGGCTGAGAGTTGGGCAGGAGACAAATTTTGACAGATGGCTAAGATGGCATGTTTAGCCATCACTCAGACCTCACTCTAGTTTTGCTGCTCCAGTATTTTGCATGGGTGTATTCAAGGGGAACCCAACTATCAGCTGATCTCATGGGCTTAGCACTCTTCCTGAAAATGAGATTAAAATTCTTTTAGAAAACACAGGTTAGTACTTTTCCAGTAGGACACTAACATCAACTGATAATCAAACTCATTCCAGAAATGCGGTCATTTTTATTCCAGGAGTGTATTAAATCAATGTTCAAAAGCAACATCTGACAGGCACTAGGAAGATTATGCTATGAACCAGCAGAGTTAAGGCCATTTATTTCTCTCTCTTCTCCTCCCAAAGTTCACCATGCGTATCCCTCCTACCATTACTATCGGTCAGCTGTTAAGTCTCTAAAGCAGGAATCACCTTGGAGGCTTGCTGATATATGGGAAGGACCTGGCTTGAAAGTACTAGCTCTTTGGAATTAAAGCAGGAGGGAGAGGCATGCCCACATCAGGCTACAGTGGCCAATGAGTGCAAGGATCACCTGACTGTACTCGGAGTAGGAGTCTATTGAATTATATTCACCGGGAAACTGATTTTGGTGTAAAACAGAAAAGTCAGCTTTAACATTGATACTACCATGCGTGGCTTAAGATAGCCCCTATTCTAGTCTTGGGTCAAAAAAAAAAATATCATGAAGATATAACAGGAAAAAAAAGTTGCCAGGGCATGTCTAGTCTAATGAATATCATAAATAATATCTGTCTATGTCTAGTCAAACAAAGAGAAGGACTAGGGGTGACCTGTTAGTAGTGTTCCAATATTTAAGGGACTGACACAGAGAGGAGGGGGCCAAGCTATTCTCCAAAGCATCTGAGGGCAAGCCAAGAAGTAACGGAAGCTTATCAAAGAGAGGCCCAACCTAGAAATCAAGGAGAAGTTTCCTGACAGTGAGAACAGTTAATCAGTAGAACGGCTTGCCTTCAGAAATTGTGGGTGCTCCACCACTGGAGGTTTTAAAGAAGAGATTAGAAGCCCCTTGTCTGGGGTTGTAATAGAAGACCTCCAAAGCCCCTTCCAACTTTGTTATACTGTTACTGTTACATATTTGTGCTGCAGTCAGATGCAAAAGAGGAAAGACCCATGAGAGTGCCTATGGATTTGGAAGTATTGGTGTAGATAACGTCTAACATTTATCCCCCCTTTTTTTCTTATTCCTGGTTTTAGTGAAGAATATGAGACTCATTTACACCTGTGGAAAAACTGTTGCCTCTAGCTATGGAAACTAGTTTCTGGTAAGTCCATAGTATTATTTTAGAATGTAGGATAGCAATGAGAGCCCAACCATGGCATCTAAGGGACTGTTTTGAAAAGGCTAATCTAACAGCTGCAGGATCAGAAAGAGGTGGGATTAAACACATAGCACCAGTAACTTCAGGTGCTATAAAAAGCCTATTCTGTTGGCACCGGGAATGGGTGAAGGAGTGGCTCAACTAAGAATGAAGACGCTTAGGAATCAGTGGTTGAATAGGTTGCAGTTTCACAAAATAAGGCTCCTCCCTTTCCTCTTTCAACCTGCAATGTATTAAGCACAAGTTTCCCATTACACTCAGAGGAGGAGATTCTGGCTTAGTATTGATAATCCAGGATATAAGGATTTCTTCACCAAAGTGGTGGTCCATTAAGAAGGGAAGAGCATATAGCTATGCTCCTTAAATCTTATTCAGTGACATCACAGGTAACTGAATGCAACCACTAGACTTCTTGGGGTGGGGGGGAGAGGGCAGTACCCGCTGAACGACATGAAATTCTAAGACAGACTGAAACAAGGATCTCTATAAAAAGAGAGGAAGGGATAATTGAATCTGAGCTGGAAGGTAGCAAAATCTTTCCTCTTCACTGTTAACCGTGCAACTCCTTCCAGGCATGGCCTTAATTGAAGAAGGTAAAATGATACTTAATTCTGGTTGAGAAATACGCTGCTGCTCCACCTTCATGGTGAACCTAAGGCATATTCATGTCTGAGGCAATAAATTCAAACAGAGACATTCTCTGCTTTTCTACTTGTTAACATGCGGCTCCTCCTAGTTATCTCATGAGGCAATCAGAAACTGAACAAAACCACTAGCTGAAACAGAGCCATCTTGCAACACAGAAAAAGGAGTGGTCCAATGAATAAGGGACATCTCTCTTTCTTCTCAACAGCCATAGGAGGTTCCCCCTGGTCTCCTGCTTCCATTTGCTGCACTTCTGGCTCCTCCTCTTCCTAGCCTCAGCAGTTCCGTTGCACAGCGCCTGGTCTCTTCGGACCCGTGGTCTTCTGGCAGCCCGGCCATTGTGCAGCCACCGGAACCCCACAGCATCCAGATCTTTCTGCATCTGGGATAAGAACCTGCCCACGGAGAAAACAGGATTTCACTCTACCTCACTGCGGCTGCGCCCTCTGGTTTCCAAAGGGGCTGGCCAACGCCATGCCATACGGCTGAGGCGTCAAGCCCAAGGGATTCGGCCTGCTACCCCATCTGGCTTTGAGGATGGTCCCTCCTCATCTCAGTACCCCTGGGCCATTGTTTGGGGCCCCACAGTCTCAGTTGATGAGGGAGGGGATGCCAGCTCTGCCAACCCAGGCTTTCCACTTCTGGATTACGCCTTTGTTTCATCCAACGGAATGGCAACAGCACAACCCAATTCCCACTCACTGTTACACAATGAAGGGCTCAACCTGCGTCAGACCCCAGCCACTCTACCACCCTTCCTCTTTGGACCTCGGGGAGAAGGTAACCATTGGTTGCTTTCCGTTACTCCTTTAGGAACTGCTTTAATGATTCTGTGTAATTAACAGCTTGAGTAACAAGCCGAAATTAGGCAGGGGCTATTTTTGTCATAGCAAAAACTGCCTTCTGTGGCTGCTAGGTTTTTGCCTCTCTGTTTACAGATGTACAGAAATCAATCTAGGAAATAGTTGACCTTCCTAAAAGGATCTTAAAATTTAGTGCTTCTTCTCATAAAATTAGTCCCACTTCTTTTCTTTTTTTCTGACTCCACAACCTTTGTCTGTTCCAGGTGTGGACCCCCAACTTTACGTCACCATTACAATTTCTGTCATTATTATCCTTGTTGCCATGGGAATAATACTCAAATTCTGGTAAGTAGATTCTACACAGGTGTAAAGAGTTGTTCCAGACCTTTGCTGAAATCAAAAGTAGTATTATGGGATGTGGCAATGGTCCTGGGAATGGGCTATAATTGCAGATAATGAATTCCAATGCCTTGGAGGTCATTTTTTCAATTATCCATTTAGTTGCCTTGGAAGTGTATTTTGTTGCCCTAATTATCTCACAAGCAGTCAGGCTGTATGAATAAAGTTAGTGCTGTCCAGCAGGAAACATTTTGTATATTATGAAGCCCATAATACGCCTAAGGCTGCAAATGGCAGGTCACTGCCCTGTCAAACTAAAGGAATTGTTAGTAGTTACTCTAATGCCTCGCCCTTTACTACTGTGAGTGGTGTTTAGGATGGAGAAGATTTAAAGGTCAAACTCAGCAACTTTAAAGCAATGGATGCTTTTCATTTTCTCTTTTCAGTTTTCTACAAATGAGCTAATTCTCTGCTGAATATTTGGATCGGATCTATATGCCGTATGGTTTCAAAGTACAGAATAAAACCCTAATAGATTCATTCTAAATATTTTGCCTGATAGATTATTACCGTAGAGGTATATAATAAATGATAAAACGGCTTTATTATTATATGCTATGTTGTAGTGAATGATTAGCGTCTTTCCTTAGTTAAGAGTGGATTTCAATCTCATTCGACATAATGAAAATAACCTCCTGTGTCCTACAATGTTCAGCTTAGGGTGAAGGCAATGCCTGTGTTCGTAATAAGGCTGAGCAGTGATCCAGATTCAGAGGGCAAAATGTGATTTGGTATGTGCATGAACACACATGGCTAAAACTCTGGAGAGGCCCTGCCAGTCTGCATAAAGAATATAAGCTAAATGAACCAAATATCTAATTCAGTTTCATGTAGCTTTTGTTCACTTTTCAAAAGCTATAGCTAGTTTACATGTAACATTAGATCATAATGTTGAGGTTTTTCTGTTTTTGGCTTAGTGGGATGTGCAAAGCTATCCATATGGTTTAATATTATATGCAAAACAGACTGCTTTGGTTGAAAAAATATAGGTTTTTTTAAATATGTATTTATAACATAAAAATAAGCAGCTCACTGATATAATGGAGACACACAAGGCTACAAATTGAACTGGGTTTCTCTTGGATGGATCTGCCATACAATTGTAAAATCAAGAGACAATTGGGTTGGAATGTATACTTTTCTTTAAATATTTGGTCTGTGCTCAGATCCGATGCCATCAAAGTATTCCCAAGGAAGTCACCATGTAAGGGGTTGATGGAGTCTTTTATTCCATTGCCATAATTCAAGCCCCACTGTAAGAGAGTTTTTTTTCTTTTTGCATACAGTGAATTTATATTTTATTTTTCCTTGTTTCCAAAGCCAAATAACTATTTGAAGAGGTAGCTTTAAAAGTTTTGCTTCAAACCTGTTATCTTCCCTCTGTAGAACAGAGGCAGGCAATGTTTATGTGGTACAACATAAAATGTTTCACTGCTGGAAGCTGTATCTTTTATTTTGGGCACCAAGAGAAACAAAATGTTTCTAAATAGGCAGCACCAGGGTTTTTCTTTTCTTTTCTTTCTTTCTGGAGTATGTTTGGCATATTATTTTTGCAGTTTGATTGACTGTATATTCTAAGTCTTAACCAACATTTCAGTTCCCTGCCAGAAAAATTGTGGAAAACCTGCTTCAGATCTCTGCTGATTTTCACTCTGCAATTGTATGTGGATCTGGGGGTTCCAAAAATATGCTTTTAAAGCTGTATGTTTCTTGTAAATCATGGACTGCCCACGTCTGATCCAGTATGTATAAGAAACAAAATTGATTCTTCTTTCATCCGCCCCCTTAGGAGACAGGAGGAAAGGAGAATCTGCTGTCACCTACACAATACTTAATTCATCCACTACTAGAAGAGTATTTAAACCATAGAGCTTTGTGAACCAATTGGAGTGGAAGGGAAACAAGCAGGCCTGTTATTTTCCTGAATGTTTGGGCTGCTAACCCACATTTGTGGGACTGCAGGAATCAGAAGCAGTCTCTTCACACCTTGTAATCGGAACAGGCATGTAAAGTTGTGGAGTTCAGCCCCAGGACTGAGGATTATGGTTACATGGGTGATCTTCCTCCTTAGTGACTAGCTTTGTCCAAGCTCATAAAGCTCAAAGTAAGCAGATGGGTGGGCGTGCAGGCTGGCTAGCTAACAGGGTAATTCTTTTGTATCAGTTCCTTGCCTTCTTCCTTATCCTGCACCAGAATGCAAGTGTCAACACAATGCACAGTATCAGTCAGCAGCAGTTCCCAGGGAAGCAACAAAGACCTTTTGTTGCTAGCTCAGCTCCTGTTAAAATCCACCACCTGCATTTCTAGCACTAATTCTAGGCCCAGTTCTCTTGACATCAGAATTAAAATTGGCAGCCTTAGCTACATTAGGCAATGCGTGGAAACAAACATGATCTGGAAGCTTTGACAATTGTGTTAACGATCATCTGTGTCACATGATAACCAGTCGAGGCGTTCCTTCAGGCAATACAGTAGCCTCAAGGATTGAAAGTTTCAAGAAAATGCTGCTGAGATATTGACAGATTTTGCCTGACACATAGAAATGAAAATAAAGGATTTGGGTATACGGATGGAAAGGTTTATTCAGTGGCTGTGGATCTCTCTGATGTTGGTTGCTGGTTTGGAGCATGTGTTGAGTAGAAGTTGCCCTTTTTTTTCATAACAATGATGCAATATGAAGCCGTTTAGTTATTACAAAGTGAGTGAAAACTTATTTTGCAATTATAGCATAAAGATTTGATGATTAGTAATTCTGAGCATATATTTCTTGCTGACAGAATACAAGGATTGATTTACAGGCTCAGATAAAAGTAATGTTTTCTGGGATTCCTGACAATAGAGTAACCAGATTGTTTTAGGGATCCATATCATTTATTTTTTCAATGGCGGCAATCTCTAAAATGCCCTCCTAATCTGTTTCATAGGTAGGCAGGTAGGTAGATCCATCCATGTCTGCAATATATGATATTTGCCAAGATTAGTATGGTTTAAGTATTAGATTAAGAGGAAACCCAAGTTCAATTCCCCATTCAGTCCTGAAGCTGATCAGGAAATTACCTTCAGTTTAAATTACATCATAGATTTTGTGAGGCTTAAACAAAGGTAGCAATCTAAAATTGAGGTAGACAAAGAGAAGTTCTCTGTAGGGACTTTTACATACTAAAGACACTTGGCTATGCTTATTTTAATCCTTCTCTGATAGCAGGAAATATACAAGATACTATTCTTATGAAATAAGAGGGACTGGAGTTGGGGGATAATGGTGTAAAGTGGTGAACCACAAAATTTCCAGATGAGAGAGAAGAATAAATAATTAAGAGGTCCATGAAATAATAATGTACTTTCTACAGAGAAAGGAGCAATCTCTGCTATATTACTGTTACTGTTGTCATTAAGGAAGTAGCCTGAGAGAGTTTTAGAAATACTCATATACTTTTGTTGTACAGTGTTTAAAAAAAAAAAATCTCAGCCTCCCAAATGTATTTGGGAACCACTGTTTCCTTTCTTTGTGGTAAATGCACCCATTTTATTACTTTAAGCTATGAATTCTAACATATTTATTCTTCTTTAATTAACAAAGATAAAATACAAAACAGAAGAACAGGAGAAAAAACAGATTGACAACACTAATAACCAAACACCAATAACAAAAAAAAAGGATCTTATGTACAAAAAAAATGAAAAAGAAAAAAAAATCCAAATATCAATTAAATCTAACATTAAACATAAAAAATCCACCCCAGCTGAATGCTGAAAGATAAATCCAAAAATAACATGTTCTCCTCCCCTTATATAACAGATCTACAAATAATTATATACTTCTCCATCTGTATTTAACAAAAATGCTGTATTAGGTACACAAATATCCCTGATGTGGAAATCTATTTGTCTAGCGATCAAATCGACCAATACAATCTACATATTAAAAAATAACCAGTCAACGGGTTACCCCAAACATAAAACTAATCTTCAGATCCCTCTGTTAACCACCTGTTATTGTCTTTGACATGTAGAAAATCGACAAACTTTTTCCAGTCTCTTACAAAGTGGTCTAATCTATTGTCTCTAATCAAGGCAGTTAATTTTGCCATCTCTGCTAATTCAGTCATTTTGAAAATCCACTTTTCTTTCCAATGCTTAGCATATACAATCCTCGCAGTGATCAACATATAGGGAAATAGCATTGCAAACTGTTTTTCAATTGGTTTGTCCACCATACCTAAAAGAAAAGCAGAAACTACTGTTTCTATGTTCTAAATTGCTACGCTTGTAAATTGCTGCTGTTGGTGAAATTCATTATTTGTTTTTCTGTTCCAAATATGTAAAGTGCTGTACAGCTCAATAAAAAACAATCAAATATATAAATAAAACTAACAAGATTAACAAAAACAAGAATTAAAAAATAAAACCCAGGTAAAGCTCTCTCTAATGCCTGAGCTTTAATGAAAAATATTTCTAAACGATAGATATGTTGTAAAGAAATAGACAAACTCCTTTAATTGCTATATACCAAATTCTGGTCATGAGTAAAAGGAACCAAGAATGCAGGTAGTCCTCGACTTATGACCACCCGAAATTGCAGACGCTAAATGAGTTTTGCCCCATTTTATGACTTTTCTTGCAACAGTTATTAAGTGAATCGCCGCAGTTAAGTTAGTAACAGGGTTGTTGAGTGAATCCCCATTGACGTTGCTTGTCAGAAGGTCGCAAAAGGTGATCACATGACCCTGGGATACTACAACAATCATAAATATGAGTCAGTTGCCAAGAGTCTAAATTTTGATAATGTGACCATGGGGATCCTGCAACTGTTGTAAGTGTGAAAAACAGTCATAAGTCATTTTTTTCAGTGCCATTGTAACTTTGAACAGTCACTAAATAAACTGTTGTAAGTTGAGGACTACCTGTGTAGTCATTTTCTGTTGAATTTGACCCACATACCATGGTGTGCATTTCATAGGGACTGTTCAATGGATGCCCATTAAACTTCTACAAACAGCAGCCAGTATTGGAACACTCTGAGATTGAGTATTGATGCATTCAAAAAGAGGACAGGTTCTCTGTCAGCTATACAAACGGCCTTTTTATTTTCCCAGTAATCAATAATTTGATTACTATTAGTTTGATTAATAGTTTGAATTAATAGTTTGATTAAAATAGTTTGAACATTGGAAAATATAATGTCCTTGCAAAAGCTATAACATATGGAAGGAAGATAGTGGAATGCCTAAGCAATGAATGACTCCCTGGAAGTTATCTGTGGATGCTGCCTTGATGGTAACCCTCTTCTCCACCTACCTTAGTTGGGACCGGAATCAAAAGCGCCGTCACCATTCTAGTCAGCAAAGCGAATTGCAGCAGCAGGAGAGCCAGCAGCCTTTAACAGACCTGTCACCTGCCACTGTCAGCATCCTGGGGCCCTACAGCGATTCACAGGTTCCGACGCCAGAGATGGTGGAAAGTGGACAAGTACTGGAAGGCTTGGAGAAGCTGGAGGGTCTAGGGAAGTCCAGTGCCTTCCAGCTCAACAGGTAAGAAACAGCATGGACAATAATTGGATGTTGCTTTTGGCAGAAGAAGAAGAAGAGGGAAAACAAGTGAAAATCAAAGCAAAAAAACCAAACAAACCCGGAAGTATGTGAGCAGTTGATTTTGTGTGCAGGGCTAACGAACCTCTATTTGAGCCACATGTCAAAATAGATTCTACATTTCGGTGCTGGTTTTGTTTCCTCTTAATGTTTATACTCTAGGTTTTCTCAGACACGGTGTTTGGAAGAAACCAATGGAAAAGGGACTCTCTTCTAAATGGAGAGTGACTTCGTAAAATTCTTGTCAATTTTATAACGCAATTCTAAAGACTATCATGGGCAATATGCTAATTTCATTCATTCTTTTCAAAATACATAACCATTTTTATCTATTCTTGTTCTCCCCCACCTCCAGCTTTTGTTCCTTAGAAGATAAGCAGTTCTACTTTTCAGTACACATTTATCTACGCCAGGGGTGTCAAACTCAAGGCCTGTGGACTGTATCCAGCCCCTTGGGGTGCTTAAATCTGGCCCGTGGGACCGGCCTGGAAATAGCAACAGATTGGGCCACGGTGCCTCTGGCAGCCAAAACGGGGCATGGAGGAGGTTGTGCGCAGTCCCCACACGGCCTATTTTCAGCCTGGACAGCATCCTGAAGCCCTTTGCCGGCCAGAATGGGGCATGGAGGGACCTACACGTCCTGTTTTGGCGGGCAAAGTGCTGCAGGAGCCTGTCCAGGCTGAAAACCGGCTACAAAAATGCCCCCCCTCCAAGCCAGCCCACAGAGAAGAGCTATAATGTTCATCTGGTCCTCAAAAAAATCCAGTTTGACACCCCTGATCTATGCTATGGCTTTTTTCAAGTGGTATGAAAAGTGATCAGTAGTAAAAATTCCTCCTCCATTCCATGATACTAAATGTTTTTTAAATTTTACACAGACATCTCTGTGGTAGCAGTATTTGTCCTCAGAAGGTAATAAAAAAAAGACTAGGAGTAATATCCCTACAGCAGGATTTTTCAAACTATTTTAGGCTGTGGAACCTGTTCGTTAGAAAAAGAAACGCCAGAAACCTTGATCAAAAGGCAACAGTCTACTGGTGGATAATTGGCTGCGCTTGAGTGATATTTCCCACCCACCCCCAGTGTCTCACAGAACCCTGAGGTTGAAAAACTATGCCCTAGAGAGGACAAGTTGTAGATTGAGAGCTTCAATTGTTTAATCTGTATGTACTATGCTTTGTCACTGTGTTCTGGTTTTATTTTCGTTATAAAACATTAGCAAATATCCCTTCAAGAATTAGGGGAGAGGGAAGTTTGACTTTCTAGTTTTGTATTTGTATAACTTTCAGTCCTGTAGGTATAAACCAAAAATAGGGATACAAAGACTTCAGAAACCTCAAGGAAAATAATTGAAAAGCAATTGATTGATTATGTTGCTGCTGATTCTTAGCAGCCATATACATTTTCTTCATTAAGATTCTACCCCTAATTTAGCCTTTCAGGTTTTCCAACAGTGCTCACTGCCACTGTAACTGAGCCTACCTACATAGTGGATGGTGGCCCTCTTCTTCTCTTTCCTCTCACTTTTCAAATGGTCCTGAAATAATGCCTCGCTGTGCTAGGCTTGGGATAGGCCATGTCCCTGGATACTGATGAACTATAGTTCACAGCAGCCTTACACAAGTTGGCAATGATAAAGGGTGCTGGAAGTGTCAGGTCCCATTGTTGATATAGGAAAGTAGTCTCATTGTTGTGGCCTGAGGGCCGCTGGCCCCTTCAGCAGCCGAATTAAAGGAGGAGGAGGAGGAGGAGGAGGAGGAGGAGGAGGAGGAGGAGGCGGCGTGGGAGTCAGAGTCAGCATCAGGGCAACCTGGGAGCTCCAAGGGGGAAGAGGGAATGGAGCTGGCAGAGAGAGAGACAGAGGCAGAGCCTTGGCCATCCGCCAGCCCTCAGATGGAGAGTCAATTGCCCCCAGGTCTGGAGGTGGTTGAGGAAGAAGAAGAACAGCTGGGTCCAGTGCCTGACGCGCGGCTGTGCAAAAGGCAGAGAAGAAGAGTGGAAAGCTGTGAGCCAATCCTGGGGAAGGAAGAGCCACCGCTGCTAGCGAAGCCCCACCCTAGCTCTGGGGATAAAAGGCAGGGGGCGGAGATGAATAGGTGTTGCAGACAACTATTCATCTTCCGGCCGGTCAGACTTATTAGCCTGCGAGATTTAATTTAATTTAATTTAATTTAATTTCCAATTTATATACCGCCCTTCTCCCTGAGGACTCAGGGCGGTGTACAGCCAAGATAAAAAACATAGAATACAAATATTAAAAAAAACATTTAAAAATATATATAAATTTTGGCCCGAAAGTTAAGAAATCACAAACTGATTAAAAGAATTTAAAAATTTCTTCCTAAGCCAACCCGGCTTGCTGGAAAAGATGGGTTTAAGGGAACGACGGAAGGCATTGAGGTCATGGATTCTCCTTATCTCCGGAGGCAACTGATTCCAGAGGGTGGGAGCCCCCACCAAGAAGGCCCTCCCCCTGGGGGTCACCAGCCTACATTGTTTGGCTGATGGCACCCTGAGGAGGCCCTCTCTGTGGGAGCGCACGGGTCGATGGGAGGTCGTCGGTAGCAGCAGGCGGTCTCGCAGATAGCTAGGCCCTATGCCATGGAGCGCTTTAAAGGTGATAACCAACACCTTGAAGCGCACCCGGAAGACCACCGGGAGCCAGTGCAGCTCGCGCAGGAGCGGTGTTACATGGGAGCGCCATGTCGCTCCCATCACTACCCGCGCTGCCACATTCTGGACCAGCTGGAGCCTCCGGGTGCTCTTCAAGGGGAGCCCCATGTAGAGAGCATTGCAGTAGTCAAGGCGAGAGGTGACGAGGGCGTGAGTGACTGTGCACAAGGAATCCCGATCGAGAAAGGGCCGCAACTGGCGAATCAGGCGAACCTGATAAAAGGTCCCCCTGGTAACAGCCGTCAGATGTTCCTCCAAAGACAGCTGCCTATCCAGGAGGTCTCCCAGATTGCGAGCCCTTTCAGTGGGGGCCAAAGACTCGCCCCCAATAGTCAGTGATGGAGTCAACTGACTATATCGGGATGCCGGGAGCCACAGCCACTCAGTCTTGGAAGGGTTGAGCTTGAGCCTGTTCCTCCCCATCCAGATCCGCACAGCCTCCAGGCACTGGGACATCACTTCAAGGGCATCGTTGGGGTGGCCTGGGGTGGAGATGTACAGCTGGGTGTCATCAGCATACTGGTGGTATCTCACCCCAAAGCCACGGATGATCTCACCCAGCGGCGTCACATAAATGTTGAACAGAAGGGGCGAGAGGACCGAGCCCTGCGGCACTCCACAGATGAGAGGCCTCGAGGTCGACCTTTGCCCCCCTGCCAACACAAACTGCGACCGGTCGGAGAGAAAGGAGGAGAACCACCGCAACACAGTGCCTCCCACCCCCAACTCTTCCAGCTGGTGCAGCATGATACTGTGGTCGATGGTATCAAAAGCCGCTGAGAGATCTAATAGGACCAGAACAGAGGAACAACCCCTGTCCTGAGCCCTCCAGAGATCATCCACCAACGCGACCAATGCCGTTTCCGTGCTGTGCCCAGACCTGAAACCCGACTGGAACGGATCTAGATAGGATGTTTCCTCCAGGAATTGCAGAAACTGTTGCGCGACCACACTCTCAACAACCTTCGCAATGAAGCGAAGGTTGGAGACAGGACGATAGTTAGCCAATATTGCCGGATCCAGGGAAGGCTTCTTGAGGAGAGGCCTCACCACCGCCTCTTTCAGGGCAGCAGGGAAGTGACCCTCACTCAACGAAGCATTAATGACGCCCTGGAGCCAGCCTCGTGTAACCTCCTGGGAAGCCAGTACCAACCAGGAGGGACACGGGTCCAGTAAACATGTGGCCGCACTAAGTCTCCCCAAAATCCTGTCCACATCATCGGGAGTCACAGCATCAAACTCCTCCCAGATAACAGTCTCAAGACTGTTCCTCGTCACCCTGCCCTGATCTACCCAGTCAGAGTCCAAATCCCCCCGGATCTGAGCGATTTTGTCATACAGGTATTGTCCGAAATCCTCCGCCCTGCCTTCTAAACTTTTTGCTGGGACTGCTGGCATTCCTAATAAAGGAATCTTTTGAGTTCATGTCAGAGGGCTTGTCATGTTTGGGTCAGAACACTTATATTACTACTTCTAAAAATGGTCCTTACTAGAAGGAGTAACAAAAAAAAAAAACTCTTAAAAACAGCTATGACCTTTACAATTAATGGAAGAGAAATCTCGCTACTTTTTGTTATTCCTATCACAAGCAGAGTCCAAAATGCCAGGCAAGGCCACAGAGGTAGCAAGAGTTACATTACTTGACTGCATTTCCAACCCACACCCTCACCCCACTTATAATAGTATATAAATAGAATGCATTGGTTTCTGTATCATGGGTTGGGTTCCCAAAGCCAAATCATATATTAACTGCCACCATGCAAATAGGTAGTAGCAAAATTACTTAGACCTCTAATATATATATCAGGCTAAAAGTGATTGAAGGTGAATATCACTAATACTGTAATACATTTGACAACTTCTATGGGGATCTTGGTTCTACCGTGTTTCTCCCAAAATAAGACCCTGTCTTATATTTTTCTGAACCCTGAAATAAGCATTGGCCTTATTGCCATGCACTCAAAAGCCCAATTTGGCTCATTATCAGGGGATGTCTTATTTTGGGGGAAACAGGGGATATAGTAAATATATAACAGCAGCTGGATATCCATCAAAAATTACAGTTAATCAGCAAGATTCAAATATTAATACAGATAGACCATGAGTTACAATCATTCATTTAGTGACTATTTGAAGTTACAATGGCACTGAAAACAGTGACTTGTGACTGTTTTTCACACAACTATGCAGCATCCCTGTAGCCACATGATCAAAATTCAGACACTTGACAAATGCCATGTATTTATGATGGCTGCAGTGTCCCAGGGTCACGTGATCACCTTTTGTGATCTTCTCACAAGCAAAGTCAATGGGGAAGCCAGATTCACTTAACAACTATGGCAAGAAAGGTCGTAAAATGGGGGGGGGGGAAATCACTTAGCAATTATCTTGCTTTGCAATGGAAATGTTGGGATCAATTGTGGTCATAAGTCAAGGACTACCTGTAGAATCATGAGTTAAAGGCAGACATCCATATTATCAGCGAGTATTTTTGATAAAAGGATCTTCTGACCACCCATTTCTATGTTACTGTTTTGTTTTGATTTTTCCCTTCCTTGGTGTCTCAGAAATCATTCCTCTAATCAGGATATTCCATTCCTTGCTATTGTCATCAATGGAAAGAGCCCTCCATCCTGATGCCCTGTATCAGAGGTGGTATTCAGCAGGTTCTGACCAGTTCTGGAGAACCAGTAGTGAAAATTTTGAGTAGTTCAGAGAACCGTTAAACACCACCTCTGACTGGCCCTGCCCCCATCTATTCTCTGCCTCTAGAATCCTAGCTGATTGGGAGGAAATGGGGATTTTGCAGTAACCTTCCCTGGATAAGGGAGGGAATGGAGATTTTACAGCATCCTTCCCCTGCCACGCCCACCAAGCCATGCCATGCCTACCAAGATACGCCCACAGAACCGGTAGTAAAAAAATTTGAATCCCACCACTGCCCTGTATGGTGTGCTGGGTTCTTTGGGAATAGTTGGGAATAACATGAGTAGACAGGACTGTGCCCCCTCTCCATGAGAGGGCTCTCTCCTTGTTTTATATCCTTCTTTTTTCTGAAGATCCCTATCTATAGGGGCTTCCTCCAACAAATGGGAAACAATAGGATACAGCAATGAGAAAGCATGAACAGAATGTTGGATAATGTAAATTTATTTAAATATAGTAGTTGATGGAAATACTGTCAACATTCCTAAAATTTATCATTTTGGCATAGTGTAATGAGTTACATGCTATCCCTTTTTATAGAGAACTAAGAAGGCTTTAAGAATAATCTCATCCAGGCTATGTTAGCATTGCAAGAGAGCAGATAAAGCCAATCTATTCTTACCATCTAAGATCTGAGAATACTTTTTATTTATGTCTCTAATTTTCTCCCACTCCATTTCTACTTCTGTCTCCCCCAGGATTCCACTGGTGAACTTGTGACTGAATGCACTAGAAAGAATAAGGCTTGATGTCCTTGTAATGAGCTCAGATGCTGAATCTTCGAGGGAGTCCCACAGAAGCGGCAGCCCTTTCTTTAGTCCCATCCTCCTGCAATGCCACTTCTGGTACAACAGAAGAGCTATTGTGGATCCCTTTGTGTCACGTCCTTCCATCATCACTGCGGACCCGACGGAAACAAGGATGAGCTCAGGTGCAACCTGCCAGGCTGGGCTTTCAAAAGCCCCATGGTGCACGGTGGTTAGGGCAGTGTCGTGCCAACAAAGCCCGGGGGAGGAACAAGTGGATGAAAGCTACTAGTATCATAAAAATTTTAACATGTCTCCCTTGTATCTTGACACAAACAGTTGCATACAGATATTTATTAGTAAGCATGCTTGATACCAAGAGGCAGGATGCTGTGTGTCTTCCCTTCCTTCCCAACTTTTGTTCTCTTCCCCTTCGTGTGATCTGATGGGTCTTCCAAAAGGGCAGTTCTTAATATCATTTGGGGTGGGGTGGGGTGGGGTGATGATGCAGATCTTATTGGGTTATGGGAATCAACATACTATATAGGAAACGAAAGTACGATGAAGGGGAACTAGATACAAAGAGTCAGTAACAAACATATACCACACTCAATTTCCTATGGTGGTTTTCAGATTAACCTTTTCTCTAGAATTGCCATCCCTTGTTCATCTGTTTTAAATTGTGTTCAAGTATCGTACTGAACCTAGGACCTGGTTAATCCAAATGTGCCACTTACAGGCCACCCACTTTCCTCTGAAAACCACTGCTTGTTTATAGTTAGCTGATACAGAACAAAAACCTCTGCCCAGAGATAATCGGAGAACATGGCCGTAAACAAACAAGCCAATGGCTATTTCAGTGAAACAATTGCAAAGACTATGCTGTCTAGTGATGACAGGCTAACCATAACTGAAGCTTTGATAGGGTCTTGTGCCTCCCATCAAATGTTTCCTGGCTGCAGGTGCGGTATGCTTGATTGCTTCATAATGAGAATGAATGGGAGATAAGTGAAAAGCTATTAATGGCCCTCTGAATAGCTTCTCTTCAACCCAATGCAGCCTTTGTTTTGACAGCAGAACAAAAATGCATCGGAGGGGTTTGTTAGTTGCTTTTTTTTTTTTTTTGTCTTAAAAAAATATTGTGGAATTATATCCCTTCCCTCTGTGGCAGAAAACTAGCTATTGAGGAATTAAAAGAGGAAATTGTTTGTTTATATTGCTAGGAACTTTCACTAAACAGAACCTTTTTGTGCATAAACATAATAAGATTTTCTTGATAGCAGCAAGTGTTGTTCCTTTTGTATATGTAAAATCTCTGATTAATTAAATTTACTGCCAACTGCAGAAAGGTAATTCCTTAGTACCACTAATGCACTGTAGTATGTAAGCAACCCATACCATCTGTCTGTCCTTGAATTTTTAAGCACATTACTTGCTATAGCTATGGTGCCAAGAAGGTACATTTCTTTTATGTCCCCCTTCATTTGCCCTTCTGTAGCATTTCATTCTAGTTCTGAGTTCCCCACTATAATTATTGGATGAGGCTTACCTGTCCTGATGCCCCCAGTGAAAACTTTGGTTTGCAATAAGTGTGGCCTCCGAAAGCATTGTAAAGACAGTGCCAAAAGCATTTCTTCTAGGAAGGGGTTCCAAAATTGAGCTATCACTGTTGACTGTGCTAGGTGGTGTATATAGTGTGTGTTGTGCCCTTCCAAGTAGGGAAGTAGTAGAGATAGAGTTTCAGGTAGAGATTTGAAGATGGGCAAGCCAAAGATTATAAACCACACGTAGCCACTGGAGCCCCTTAAATTTGCATTGCTAAACATTTCAGTCCTAACCTTAGGCTCATCATTAAGCCTTCTGGGGCCTGCTTTTGTTTTAAAGCACAGAGCAGCTACCTGAGCAGTCTGACCCTTCTTAGGATAAAAAGCTACTTCCTTGCAATGCCAACATCATTATCCCTGGGTGTTTCATAATTTCTGCAGTGGATTCTCTAGCTTAGAACAAATAGCAAAGGTATATGTTTATAGTTTTTGTACAGTATCTGCAGAACTGTGTTGTATAAGTGGGACAAAACCAAAATCTGCTTTTTTGAAATACGGGCATCTGTTCCAAAGCCCCAAGGAAGCACTTATGTGTTCTTTTTATTACTTCAGTTTCTGACAAGCACAACTTCTTTATCAAAGGCTCCTCCAGTAATTATATCTGAGCTTCCAACGTAAAGCCGTTTTTCTGTGATAAATCCACAAGGGGCAGATTCCTTTATACCCATCTTCCCAGATACTAGATTGCATAGTTATGAGGTACTCTGTACAAACATTTGTAATGTTTATATCTTGCTCTTTCCCAAGGAAGCTCATTGAATGAGTAGGTGCCACCCTGTCAATTTTAGCCTCACAGCTCTTCTGTGAGGTGAGAAAGAGAAGAGTGGCCCACACTTATCTGAATGGAATCAGAGATTTGAAGCCAGCCTGAATGGAGATCTAGCCAGGTATTTGGAGTTTAACCGGTCCTCTTAAGTTCTGGGGAAAAATGCATAGATAACATTTCATATCTCAAGTCACTTCTATCCTATGAATACTCACACAGAACTAAATTGCACTGTTGCATTTAGAATTCTACTCTCAGAATCACCAAGTAATCAAAGGAGTATAGGGATCCTGTACTATTGAAAATGCGGGATGGGAAGGTGGGAGGGGGGCTGTTGTCATTTTATTTTAATTAAGGAAGAAATGAAGGAAACTTGCCATTGTTATTTGTATTTGATCCCTCTCCTTTCTTTGTAGTATACTTAATATCATTTAAAATGTTTGCATTCTTTCATCTGCTTAAGGATATATGACACACAGAAAATTATTTTAAAGTGCCATTTATTTCAGTATGGAGTTACAACTATTTTTAAATTAAGAATTAATTGTCATAATAATGCCAGCATAAATTTCTTATTCAAGTGAAATAACTTTATAGTTTATTTTTATGTAGTAATATGAAGTTAGTAATCCCTTCTGCTTGTTTGGGGCAAAGGGATCGTCACCTAGTTACTTAAGAACTATAAAGCTCTATATTTTATTAATTGTATCAATAGCACAGAGTTAGAACTTGACTACCAAGATTCCTAGTGGAAACTACAGACTACCCAGGCATGCTTATTAACCAAAAAATAACCCTAACCCCCCACCATAACTGTACCCTGTTTGCCTGAATTTGATACGCCAAAATCAATCAGCTGAACTCTTTTCAGCTTGCTTAAAACTGTCCTATTTTAATGTGTGTACACAAAGCTGCTTTTATTTTGGCAATGCTTAAGACCTAATCCCTCCACCGCCATCAAAATGATAGAGAAGTTGGAATGGATGGTGCTGTAGCATGTGAAGTAAAGCAAGAAAAAGGCATGCAGAAATATTACTAAGATTGTCCATCACTGGAAAAAAAGGAATAATGGTGCCGATCTAAACCTTGGGAGGGAAGATGAAAAACTGGTTAGGTGCTTAACTACTTAGATGTTTACCTTTTCTACGTCTGTTATTCTCCTCCCTTGATATGTGTTTGCAGAAGATGAGGATTCTTCCTCAACAAAATTGTGTTCTCTAACCTTTAAAAATATTAATCCTCATGCTGTTAAAACAGAGTGATATCAGCAAGTCTGACTAAAGATGTTTTAGCAAATGAAATGGAAAATGCAAAAATCTTTAGCCCAGGATTCAGTTCTTGGGTAATCCACCAGAGACTTTTCTTCTACACGCCTCATTGTAATTAAGGGCATTTCTGTGCTTACTATCTGAGCTGTTCATGTCCTATGGTCATGCCTGCTTGACTCTAAGCCAGCTTTAAAAAGCCTGGCCAATATATAACTATATACTGTATTTGTTTCTAAGGGCTTTTTGACTCGTTTTTACCAGTACTACAGTTGATATATTTTGTTTGAACGTAACTGGTTCAAAATCCAATGTGTTTTACAATTATATATTTTTTCTTTTCAAAATTCCTTTTTCGCTCTTTGCTTTATTTTCTTGGGTGATAATTGGAATTCCACTGATTCTCCAGTCACCTGAGATAGAAGAATTTTATCCCCAGCTTCCGAGCAGCTCATAGCTTAAAATAGCTCAAGTGTTACTTTTAAGACATTAAACAATCCATGTTAGCATTCAGTGGATTATTTATATGGGGGGGAAAGAGACTGAGCAGCTACAAAGATCCTAGCCAAGTTGTTCTAAAATAATTTCTCCCAGCAGGAATAGGAGGAGGTAACACTGGAAACTGTCGGGTAGGCAAAGCAGAGATGCCACCAAAAGAAGCAGGCAGGGTAAGGCAAAACTGAAAATTGAAGTGGGTGAGATTGAGGAGAAGCCGTGTTGGGGGCAGCAGCCAGCATTTGTACATTCCTGGTTTGGATTCACACTTCATTTTGGCACATGTCAAAGCTATGCACAAACCCTGGATCTGCTGCTCCAAGGTTTTCCAGGGGAAATGGGTGGTTGAAGCCCTGGTTGGGCGGTCTCATCTTCTCTTCATTATGGTTCCTCCTGCCCTTGCCTTGACACAGCTAAACCAGAGGAACAGAAAGAGACTTCTCCTTCCATAGTTTGTACTTGGAATGGACGGGTAAAGAGATTTTCCCACCTAATAGGAGGGAAAAGAAGCCAACAATGATGACTATGATGGGTTATGAGTGAGGTCTAATGGCTCTGGTCATGAGAGAATGACTCTGTCATAAGCATGCATATTGTCAGGGGTGGGCTGCTGGGGGTTCGCAGTGGTTCAGGAGAACCTCTAGCTAAGATTCTGTGCAGTTCAGAGAACCCCCAAATCCCACTCCTAGCTGGCCCTGACCACCCTGCCCTGCCCCACCAAAGAGTCCCCACGCGGCCCGTTTTGGATGCAGGTAAATGCAGGGCGCACGCAGAGGCTTGGGGGAGGATGAAAAACGGGCCTACCGGAAGATTGTTTCTGGCCTCCAGAGGGCCTCCGGAGCCTGGGGAGGCCATTTTTGCCCTCCTAGAGGCTCAAGGAAAGCCTCCAGAGCCTGGGGAAGGCAAACCCCCCCCCACTGCCATGGTGCAAGAGGCCGACTAGGCCACACCCATCATGGCCATGCCCACCCAGCACCTGGGCAGAAAACCCCTTGCTAAAATTTTTGAAGCCCACCCCTGCATATTGTAGGCAGTTCTTCCTCCGTGATGGTATGTACAGCTCCATAAAAAGCTTCTTTAACTTTGCCACATTGGAGCCTTTAGAGCCTTCTGTGTCATTATTTATTTTTGTTGGCCTCTGCATCAGTGATAGTAGATTAAATGCTGGTAATTGTAAGTGCGTAACTACACAGAGCTTCCCAATGGGGGTGGTTACACTGCACAATGAATGTACTTTCTATCCCTGCTCCATGTAATCAGATTTCTTTGTCGGGTGCTAATTCTCTCATTAGCCATTTGCAGGCAAATACCAACTGGGACCCAAACAACCCATGAAACCAAAACCACCTGGATTTTTATTTTCCAAGAAAAAGTTATGACACTGTAATATTTTTCCTGCCTATTTGTTTTCATGCCAATAATTGTTTTCTTTAATAATTTAATTTATCCCAATAAGTATAAACTATTTAGTAACTTATCTCCTTCTTTTAAAATACAACACATGAGCTCTTCTTCCCATAACCCATCTCTCATCTATAAACAAATCCATAAAATGTTGTAATTTCACTCCTGATGTCAGAAAAAGTCCGTTAAGTATTGCCAGAAATTTTAAAAAAAATCTATTTTAACCTCGATCAAATGAACTGATTTATATTCCTTTATCTCACCTCCAGCAATCTTCATCTTTAGTCCTTCAAATAATGACCTAGAACTTGATTCCTTTTCATTTTTTCTTTGTCCCTTCTCACAAAATTCTTCAAAGCTTTAACAAACCTCTTTTCTAAATCCAGTATAGGAAAATGATCCAGTTCACCCTTTTGATTTGTTATTTATGTATCTCTTTTAGTTATTAAGGCATTAACTGGTTTCTTTAGTATGTCCAGTGTAACATCTTTTTCAGGGGTGAAATGCTACTGGTTTGCTCCGGTTCAGGCAAACTGGTAGCAGCAGCGGCGCATGGTTTGGTGAACCGGTAGCGGCAGCGGCGTGAGGCTCCGCCCACCTACCCGGACATTGTTACTTCCTGGTTTTAACCAGGAAATAATCTGTTTTTTACCCTCTACACATGCGCAAAAGGCTTTGTGCATGTGCAGAAGGTCTAAAATCAGACGTGAAGGTGGCGCGCACACTTCCGAACCGGTAGGGAAGCTAAGTAGATTTCACCTCTGATCTTTTTCCATGTCATTCTTATAACCTGTCATTTTTTAATCCACTTTGAAATCAGTCTCAATCATGCCAAGTAATGCTTGTTCCTGTTCTGTATCATCTTCTAAACACTATCTACAGAGACAAAACTTCTTAAAATTAACTACTGTGTCCATAGTTCAAAAATATCCTTCAGTAGGTTCAGAGTTAAAATGCTTCACTTCATTTGCATTAGTAAATTGAGTTTGGGGGTTCATTTTCAATTGTAAACCTTACTTCTTTCTTGTTCCCTCTAGTGCCCAATTTTTAAAGTCTATCCAATTTTTTTAAAGAATTCAAATAAAAACACTTTCCCAGAGGAAATATTCTTTATATTTCATTCCAAAACCTTATTTTAAATTTATCCCTCAGACTGTTTGTAACTTTCAAAAACCAAAGTTTTAATCACCTTTTTCTTTTCATTCCATTAAAAAAGGTCCTTAAACTGTATTTAAAATTTATTCTGCTAAGTATTGAAGGAAACTCAGCCTGAGCTATAAAACATGTGGATCGAAAGATCCTAACAGCTGAAAACCAATTAAGAAGCAATGCCTGAAAGTGATTAGAAAAGGAAGTATACAAACTTAGTGTTTCAAAGGCATTGACTGTGGTTTGAGCAAAATGGCTAGTTCCTCATCCCTCAGAATGCTAAACCCACTAGCACCAGTGTCTTGCAGTCTCCTTGTAGAGGGCAACTGACTGGAGCACTTATTAGTGATCTCAGTTCCTCTCCTTATCCATAGAGGAATTATGAAGAGCTGATTTACTCGCCAGCTCATTCTTCCACTGTGGCCATCAACTCTGCTTTTTGCAGGGCTATCTTCAGTTCACCATTTTTTCCCTTGGAAATCTCCAATAATTGTTTTTTATTTATATATGCACTAGGTCTAAATCTGCACCTGAACAATGAGTCAGTTGAACCGAGAGAAGAAGCTAAAGATCCCATGGATCCCAGATACTCGTTTATGGATTTCTATGCTGCCCTTCCCTATAAATATTTTCACAAATGATAAAACAATAAAGTTTTGTTTCACTCTGACTCTGTCCCAATTGCATCCTCTTATATCTCCCTCGTGGTAAATAATCAATCATTCCAACAATGACAAACTGTCCATTGTTGGGGAAGAGATTGATTGCAGGTTCTTCCTCGTATCATCTTAAAGGGCTATCCTTGGGCCAACAGAAAATTATAATGGCATAACATTTGCTGCCCTACTGGTGATCCCTATCTTCCCAGAAGCACAATGCCAGCCTTTAGATCTACAAATGAAACTGTCCTTTTTTACAATGTACAGAGCTAGTTAAGGACAATGACTGGAGAATTCCTCTAGTTTATTTCTCTCCTCTTCCACCAAAGGTTGTTACCTGGCAAGAAAACATCTGTCATCCACTCTCTTTAACATTGGGGCTGGAAGTAAATTTCAAGGAAATGAATTTTAACAGATATTTGGACCAGTGAATTTAGACATCTATCAAAACTCTCTTGGGTTCTGTGGGTGTATTAAAAAGCTTCCTGATATCAGCTGATGCACAGTTCAGTGTCATTCCAGAAGAGCACTAAACCCAGGTTCAAAAGCAGCCAGAACAATAGCTGAGAGTCATGGGGAGAATTGTGCAATGAAGCAGCAGGGAGCTGATTTCCTCTGTCCCACTTCACCATGCAGCAGCCCCATCACTACTCCTAGATGGTTGCTGTTCGGTGTTCTATGACATAAAGGCCGTATAAAATAGTGTTCAAGGACCAGAGGGGAACATGTCCCCACGCTAGCCAATAAAAGTTGAAAAGGGGGTTGCAGAGCATATTTATGCTGTAACTAATGTCAAATGAGGAAAGGCTTAAAGATATGCAGGTAAATATTTCAGGGAAGGGGAGAAAGCAATATGACAACAGAGGAAGCGTAGTAGAATGTGGTGAAAACTGCTGTTCATCTGCTTTCCTCCTAGTTTTCTTTTATTTAAATTCCTTCATTCCCGTCTCTTGCCCTTTATCTCAGTTGTGACAAATGTCTTGTGTTGCTATCATTTCCATCTAGGAAACTGATGTGAACATCTAAAATAAAAGTGGGCAGGCAAGCATGGGGTACCAGCATGAGATTCAGCATGGGTTCCAGTCAGGAATGAGTTCTGCCATCAGCATTAAGAAGTTTTAATTATTTTTTAATGGCACAATTTTCTCTCAAGCGTGGCACTAGAAATACAGCATCACAGTATAATTGTGAATTTTTGTTTTCTTTTTTTGTGTGTGAAATGGTCTATTCCCTGAAAAACTATGAGATGGCCAAGCACAGGGTGGGGATGGGGGACTAGGAGCAGGCATGGTTAAAGGAAGAGCAGTGTGACTACTACATTAAGGACAACGATGGGCCAGCAATTTCTCTTCTGCCACTGCTTCCATCACTGTCACATGTAACAAATGCCTCCTTTGCTGTATGTGCCATGGAAACCCATCACTACTTGAGGCTACTTGTGGCAGAATAAGTGTGTGTTTTATTTGTAACATGTGACAGTAAACTTGCAGTTTCTCTCATGGAAGTGGAATATTTATGAAACCTTTAGCATGTGTGCAGGGTCACTGTGTCTCTCTTCTTCCTCTTCTGCCCCTTGTGCACTGTATGATATATTTTTGTAGAATTCTTTTCTTCTTGTGGTGAAATTCTTAATACCTGTGGAATGTTAAGTTTCAAGAATTTTAAAATAAAACTGCAAAATGATAAAGAAAATGACTTTTGTGTATGGTACTCTTATTGGCAGAGCTAACCAGTTGTTGTAAATAGACGTATGGCCTTCTCCACCCTGGGTTCCTCCAGATGTGCTAGAGTCTAGCCCAGTGTTCCTCAACCTTTTTTCACTTGTGGTCCCCTTCCAACCTTGATTTTCTCCTATGCCTCCCATTATCATATATGGACACGAGACAGTAACTGGTATGTTTTCTGATCAACAAGACGGCATTTGCAATATAATACACTTTGCTTTTCTGGGGCCCACTCAGCATATACCATGGCCCTTGTTACATATTTTTTACCTGTGGCTCCCTTAAAACATCCTAAAGCCCCCAAGAGGCCATATGGTCCCCCAGTTGAAAACTGCTGGTCTAGGAGACAGCTTCCACAGTCCACAAGAAGTGCAGCCACTGGCTGCATAAATGAAATTAGGAGAATTGCATAATTCCCCCCCATCCAGAGAAAGGAGCAATGCTTGGAAAGAGTGAACATCTATGGAGATTCTCAGTCATCCAGGTCATGGTTGTCCCAAAGGGGCTTTTTCAAGAGGCAACTGGACTTTCTGGTTTTTCTTTGAAGACGTTTCACTTCTCATCCAAGAAGCTGCTTCTGCTCATGGTTAAGACTGAGTTTTGGCAAAATAACACTCATGTTTCTTAATATCCCAGCGTGGTCAGTATTCCTAAGAGGATCTAATATAAGATAGTCTTCTGATAGAGGTCTCCGGAAACTTTCAAATGAAGCTATCAAGATATTGGAAAAGAAGACATATTCTATCCCATACCATTAAGGGAAGATTAGTATACTGCATATCAAAAGGAATAATTTGGCAGAGCTGAGCAAAAGATTAGATGAAAGCTGGAGCCTCTTTGTAAAGATGCTTCTCTTTGGTGTTTAAGATGAGATGGTTCATATGCTGCCTGGCATGCATTGGGTACTGTCAAAAATATCAACAGGTTTGGCCCAAGTCATTTTGGCATCTGAGATGAGAAATCTAAATGGCATTTTCTTCCTGCCAATTAATACAAGACAGATTACTTCCACAGAGCTGGTGAAGAAGAAGAGTTGGGTAGCTACAAAAGACTTTGCTGATCATTTGGACTCCATATGTCCTACTCAACAATACAGTATCTTTAACAGCACACAAATCCACCATCGCACTGTTTTCCTTCATTCAACCTCCTGGTTAGAACTGAATTTTCATCCTTGCTTCTATAATTGCTGCTTTGCCTGTAATGTAACATCTCCCATCATAAAAACATTTCGTAACATTGTAATTTCAGGCTGCAGCAGGCAGGGAGGAGGAAGGGGAGACAGAAATAACTAGAAGAAAAGGAAGAACAAGGCAGGGAGCCGAAAGCTTGTTTGCTCAGATTCTCCACCCTTTCTATTTAAGGCTCTCCTGTAGCTTTCTTTTGTGTCAAGGGTGCAGCAGCTGCTAGAGTTCTAGTTTTCTAAGGGGAAAACTAGAACTCCACTCGCCCACCTTCTGCTTTAACACCTTCACTATGCCAAGCAGACAATCAATAATGGGAAATGAGAGTGCAGCATTAAGCGGACACATATTAGACCTTGGTTCTCCAGAGAGTTTGAAGTGGAGGATGGATTAATTAACTCCTTTCAGCTGCAGTGAGGAGTTCTTTCCCAAAATGAATATAGGAAGTGCCAGAATTCTCAAACCTTTTCAGAAATGAGGTTATCCTCGCTTGACATAAAGGAAGACATTACAATGAAAGGTTTTATTCAAACAGAACTTATTCAGGACAGAGCACCACATGGGGGTATATTCTGACTAAACCTCTCTCTTTGCTCTCACCATAAATATGGGTGGCTGTGCACCAAGCTAAGGAGTGGGTGGTTGAATGTAGACTTTACAAAGAAGTGACAAGCAAATTCACCCACCCTTACTGAGATGGAGGAAAATGCTGAGTGGATCTATACATATTAGCAGAACTGAGGCTAGGCCAATTGTAAGCAGGAAAGGGTAAGCAGTAAGGAGAAATAGAATAAGAAATTGTGAAGATTTTTCTGTTTTAGAATGCATTTTATTTCCTTTTATTCTTGCTGCATTAACTTGATAAATTAGACCACAATCTACTACTTGATAAGATAAAAGAATGTGGGTTAGACAGGATTATCACAAGATGGATTAATAATTGGCTGACCAACTGCACTCAACATGTAGTACTTAGAACTGCATCTACATAGAGAGAAGTACTGTATTTTTCAGACTATAAGACGTACCGGAGTATAAGACGCACCAAGATTTCAAAGAGGTAAACAAGAAAAAAAAACTTTTTGCCCTCCCCGGCCCCCAAGAGCACTCTGCAGACCTCCCAAACCCTCTGTGTGGCCCGTTTTTGCCAAAAACAGGCCCGTTTTTCGCAAAAAATGGGGCCTGCAGAGGGTTTGAGAGGCCTGCAGAGTACTCCTGGGGGCTGGGGAGGGCAAAAATGGCCCCGTTTTTGCAAAAAATTGGGCCCATTTTTGGCCTCCCAAACCCCCTCCACACACACACACACATTGCATTTTTGCCCTCCCCAGTTCCCAAGAGCACTCTGCAGGCCTCCCCAACCCTCTGCACGCCCCATTTTTGCAAAAAACGGGCCTGTTTTTGGCAAAAACGGGACGTATGGGATGGGGTTTCAGGAGGCCAAAAATGGCTGTATTCAGTGTATAAGACACACCAACATTTCCACCCTCTTTTAGGGTGGGGGGAAGTGTGTCTTATACTCCAGAAAGTATGGTATATAGTGGGTTCCTCCAAGGTCCTGTCTTAGGCTCAGTACTTTTCAACATCTTCATAAACAATTTAGATGAGGGGATAGAAGGGAAACTCATACAATTTCCAGAAGAGGCTCAAGATCCAGAATGATCTCAACAGACTTGAACACTGGGCCCTATCTAACAAAATGAAACTCAATGGAAAGAAAAGTAAGACTTTACACTTAGGCAAGAAAATCCAAATGAACAAGTATAAATTACCTGACTCAATAGCAGTAACTGCAAGAGGGATTTAGGAGTCCTAGGAGACAACCACTTAAATATGAGCCAGCAGTGTGATGCAGTTGCCAAAAAAGCAAATATAATCCTAGGCTGCCTTAACAGAGGGATAGAATCAAGATCATGTGAAGTGTTAATACCGTTTTTTACTGCACTAGTAAGACCACACTTGGAATATTGCATCGAGTTTTGGTCACCACAATATAAAAAAGATGTTGAGATTCTCGAAAGAGTGCAGAGAAGAGCAGCAAAGATGATTATGGGATTGGAGACTAAAATGTGAAGAATAGTTCCAGGACTTGGGTATGTCTAGTCTAATAAAAGGAAAGAATAGGGCTGACATGATAGCAGTGTTTCAATATCTAAGGGGCTGCCACAAAGAAAAGGGGGTCAACCTATTCTCTAAAGCACTGAAGGCAGGACAAGAAGCAATGGATAAAAACTAATCAAGGAGAGAAGCAACCTAGAACTAAGGAGAAATTTCCTGACTGTGAGAACAATTAACTAGTGGAATGGCTTGCCTTCATAAGTTATGGGTGCTCCATCACTGGGGCTTTTAAGAAGAGATTGGTCAGTCATTTGTCTGAAATGGTATAGAATCTCCTGCTTGAGCAGGCAGTTGGACTAAAAGAGCTCCAAGGTCCCTTCCAACTCTGTAATTCTATTAATAACATACTTTGACTGCAAAGCCACATCTCATATTTGAGATTAGTAGAGTGCCAAAAGGGAGAATAGCAGGATAGGGTTGGGCAGGGGGGTAATTTGTATCACCTGAATCAAAAATCCTCTTTTCCCAAAACAGAGACCAATGCTAGAACAAACCCTGCAATTCCTGCCATGTAAAGTAGGGTATCTCAAAACAACAGTCAACTTAACTGAAAAAGTACAATGATTATTTCTTTAATCTAAGGGTTTTCCTTTAACTATGGATTGTTGTTTTTGCATTTCTTTCCCCTCTTCCATTTCAAAGATGGAGCTCTCACAAAAATCCATGGATATTAATTTATTTTGGATATCACAGTCTATTAGCAACTATGCTAAAGTCTAAAAGAATTGCTTTCTTCCTCCTCCTCCTCCTCCTCCTCCTCCTCCTCCTCCTCCTCCTCCTCCTCCTCCTCCTCCTCCTCTTCTTCTTCTTCTTCTTCTTCTTCTTCTTCTTCTTCTTCTTCTTCTTCTTCTTCTTTTCTTCTTCAAGCAACTTGTCATAAGGATACAAGCACAAGATTCTAAATTCAACAGACCAGTCAATTCTGATACCATTTCCCCGAAAATAAGACCTATTCTGAAAATAAGCCCTGGCATCTTTTTACGCTTGAGCCTAATATAAGCCCTACCCCCCCTAAATAAACCTACTTAAGAGTTTGTGCAGAGGGCTGCCCACCCATTCTATCTGGTTGCTCGCTGTGCCACGGCCATGTGACAAGGTGGGATGGTGATGGAGCTACAGCACTAGCAGACATGTTCAGTAGGAGCAGGGGTGAAATCCAACCAGTTCTATCTGGATTGGGTGAACCGGTAGCAGTAGCTGCAGGAGGCTCCACCCACCCATGCTGATGTCATGACGTCACTTTTTTGTGACATTTTAAGCCTCTGCACATGCACAGAAGGCTTTGTGCATGCGCAGATGATGGCGTGCACACATTGGTGAACCGGTAGGGAGCCTCCATTGTGGCTGTGAGCAAGCAGAAGAAGTGGGCCGGTGAACACGTGGGTCCTGCTGGATAGGGCTGCTGGAGCTGCCACCCCGAGGTGAGGCAGGTGTCGGGGCGTGGGTGGCCTGGCTGCGGGGACCCTGAGGTAAGCCAGTGCGGGGGCATGTGGGGCAGCTCCACCACCCCTGCCTTGCAGCAGTGATATTGGTGTGCCGCATGGCCTCCTGTACATGGGGGGGGAAAATAAGACACCCCCTGAAAATAAGCCCTAGTGCTTATTTTGGGGCCCAAAAGAAAATAAAACCCGGTCTTATTTTCAGGGGAAACACAGATAGTAAGCAAATCCTG